TTTAAAGGCTGTGTGGCTGTTTGTCTGTGTTGTTCATGTCGTAAGATAAAGTGTCTTACCTTGCTTTTTAGAAATAATTCCTATTGAAGGGAAGAGTTGTCTGCCTGTAACATCTTGAAGATGATTATTTTGCGAATGAAATGAAGCAGTTGACTTTTAAACTTAATGGGGTTGGTTCACTATTAAAGATTGAACTTTTTTCTGAACGTAGGGAGTGTGTGCTTCAATTCCTTTGATTGGTTTCCTTGTAAGTCAAGTCAAATGAAGATGATGGATTTTGAAAGAATTATTTTCGTAATCTTTTGGTTTGCTTTTTCTACTGTTTCTTTGTAGAGGTGTCAAAAAGAAAGCGCAAAAAAACCGATTCCTCTTTTCCCATTGCAAAGAGAAGAAGGTCTTTTCAATTCAATAAAGAGAATACAATTCCCAAAGATGACCCAAATGAGAGGGACGGAGAAGATTTTCTGGCAAGCTATATTTCTAACATGGATCAGACTGAATTTGAACGCTCACAGGCTTCTACTTGGGAAGAAAGTGAAACTGTTCTTCAGGAACGGCAGACAAACAGCAATGAAAATAAAGCTGGATCAGAAAAGGAGAGAGGGGGGGGCCTTTTTGATATGGGTACATCTGCTGGTGAAAAGGAGAGTGTCGGGCTGCCTGGACACTCAGACCTGAGAAGGGAAAGTGGTGTTTGCCAAAAACCAGACTCCTCTGAAAAGCAAGAGGCAAATGGTAAGTGAAGTGTCCAACAGAACATTTAGTTCCACATTCCATCTAAGGAGGATTGTATTATTTATTATTAGCCTTTGAATTCATTCTATTATTTGTGTTACATCTCCAGAGAATCAGCAGTTTCTTCAATAGCAATGTTGCCCATGTAATGATGTAAGCCAAGCTCACATTTTTGTGTAGCTGCTCTTTTTTTCCTAAGATCTGTCTTTCTAATGTTACCTAACTGAAAAACAGCATTTGTTGACATTCTTTTGTTGTACGAGGAACTTTCCAATAATGATCAGTGTAAGATTAAAAAAATGCACTTGAAGCTGTGTGGATCCAGAGTAGCATGTGGGGTAGAAGACTTGCATCCTAATGTTTGCGATGTAAGATATTTCCGAACTTGAATTCTTTTTGGAGTAGCATGAGGTGTTGTAATGGCAACATGACTGTTTCTTTTCCCTCTTTCATCTTTCTGTATTCTCTAGTGCTCTTTTTGCTCTGAATTTCTCATTTTGGCAGAGGACTGACTTCAGCTGGAAAGAAAATAGAAGCCAAGCGTTGCTCAGTGAAGGAGTTGTAACAGTGCTGTGTCTGTATTTGTAGAGGGAGATTGCATCCCAGTACAGGATGCTTCATGGACACAGTATTCCAGATCAACAGAAAACGTGACCGAGGAAATTTGTGTCATTCCAGATCCTTGTGTAATTCCCGTGACTCGTGCAAGATGTTCTCAGACAGAACAGAGGCACAGGAGTGCTGAAAAAGTGATGGACATTATGACAGAGTCAGCTGTTGTAGTGCTGGTGGATTACTGTGAGCTCAAAGTACGTCTAAGTTCAACTTTGTTTAAATTGTGAAATAGGACATATTTTTGCTTTATGTACAGTTATCAATTGAGGCAGTTGTTAACCAGTGCCAATTTACACAGTTAACGGCAGGGATATATAGCACAAATCAACCTACCATGGACTGTGATTGATGTGTTTCCACACCCACAGCAGCTGTAGGTTTCTGTAGGTTGCTGTTTTTACTTCTGGTAAGCATTGTCTTAGGAGGCAGTTTTTCCACCTCAGTGTTAAAATTCAACCAGCCCTTTTACCTTAAAGCAGCTCACTGACAACCTGCTAGTACTGTTACTTATTAATGTTACTGCTAAACTTCCGAAAACAAAAGAGCCAAGGATCTTTTGCTATTCTAAACTTGTATTTTTCCCATTTTTTTTTTTCCTCAGCAACTGCTGGATATGGTCACTGATCTAACAAAGGAGGCTGATATATTCTATTTTGAAAAATTATACACTAAAATTTGTCAGTGTATTTATCAACATCAAGACGATTATGACAAAACCAAATTACTGAAGGTAATTTTTGTCTTATAGCATGTTCTATCACTCGTATGCAGTGTATGTGCATTCTGGAGATCGTGCTGCTTTAGCACTACTCTTCACTGTTTTGTTGTCTGTGCAAAGACAAAAACCAAAGTAAGACTTTGTCATTTCAGTCTGGGAGGCACTTCTCCATATTGCAAAACCATTGTTAGATTTGGCATAATTGGTGGTTTCAGCAGGAAAAAGCTTGAACTTGAAGACAATGAGTCACCCACACGGCCCTTTCCAAGCAGTTAGCATTAATCTGTCAGAAGTTTTTCTTGAGAACTGACTTAAGGGTGGGGGGCTGTGAAGGGGTGCTTTTCTCAGTGTTCTGCTTCCTCTTTCACCCCTGCAGGCAGGAAGACACGGTGATACTTGGTAGACGTTCCACCCTTAAGAGCAATTAAAGTATGAAACATTAACAGGAGAGATTCTAGTGAGACTAGAGAAAAGTCTCAATTTCTAACCAGTGTGCTTGAGCATCTGTAATTGGACGTAAAGGGAGATTTCTGCCTGTGCCAGTTGTACACTACTGGGTCCAGCTCTCTGATCTCTTCCTGTAAGAGAGGATTTTGGAGTTG